GGAGGCAGGGTTCCTGTGTGAGCCTTGCTTTCGGATGTTGGAATGAGAAAGACCCTTCTTGCCCCTCCCCCCCCAACCTGGTAAGTAATGACCATTGATTGGACTTGAGTATGGTTTATGCCTCAATGTAAAGAAAGCAAAGGACCGAAAAGCAGCATCACCATAGTCAGGGATGGAAGGATTTTGTTTTCTTTGGATCCACAATCAAGCCTCCCATGAAAGCAGCAGTCAGGAAATCAAGTTAGGCATTGCATTGGGCACATCTGCTACAAAAGACTTCCTTAGACTGAGGTGCACGTGGTCCCAAACCGTGGCGTTCCCAGTCATGGCACATGCATGGGGAAAGGGACAGTACATAAGGACACTGAAGATAGGCTGATGCTGCATGGCAGTGCGGGCAGAGGACCGTGAGGGCTCTGCGGACTGCTGGAGGGCAGACAGATCTGCAAGACGTACAGCCAGCGGGCTCTGTAGAAACGGAGATGGCAAGACTTGATCTCGGCTGCTTTGGACATATGATGGGGAGACTCTTCCCTGGAGAAGAACGTCAGGCTTGGTACAGCAGGAGGTCGGTGACAACGAGGAAGACCCTTCGTGCGCCGCGGGATCGCCACAGTGGTCGCCACAGTGGCTGAAATGTGGTTAGAACTGTGAGGACAGGATGCTGGTACGAGCCAGGGTGCACTCACGTCCACGTCACTGTGGGCACAGCTGGCCTGCACCGAGCGGGGCACAGGGCATGGCGTCTGAAGGACTGTCTTTGAGGGCATCTGCGTGTCTATTCCATTTTGTTCCAAACAAATTTTTAACTTGGAGACTAGCGAGCCTTATGAGACCCCACCCGAACTTGAGGACAGCCATTGGCTCTGCTGCTCCTCCTTGGCAGTCTCGGGTTCAGAGTGCCCGCACCCCCCCCACCACGTACCCTCTTCAGGCTGTGGCTGCCTAGGAATGGATAGGCTTGCCAGTGACTGGTTTTCCTGGGAACAAGTTGAGGTTCGCGTTCACCTAGCCGTGAAGGACAAGGCTGGGCATGCTCTGGTGGGCAGAAGAACCACCCATACGTACTCTGATAACAGTCGGGATGCAGGTGTGACCCACCGAGTTTCCACAGGCCGATTTCATTGAGTGTCACTGACCCAAGCCGTGGTTTCCTAATCAGCTCAGGTGAAAGTTGGATCGTGAACAACTCAACTGCCCCCCAGTCTATGCCAACTCACTGTGACCCCGACGGCAGAGCAGGGCAGAACCGCCCTGGCCGGTTTCCGAGGCTGCCGTTCTTCTTAGGAGTAGAAAGCCTGGTCTTTGTCGCTCAGATAATGAAAAAGGCAAACGGGAAAATGCTCGGATGTGTTCAAACTGGTGTTGAACACATGGGACCTGCCGACAGAGGAACAAAAGCAATCTTAAAAGCACTGTGCCCTGTACGTCCCTGAGAAGCGTGGATGGCCAGTCCCTGACTTACTGCACACACATCACCAGGAAAGCCCAGGCTCTGGTAAGGGACCTCACCGTTGGTCAAGGAGGAGGCCAGTAGAGATGCAGGGAGCCTTCTGTGACGTGGATTAACACAGTACCACCACCATGGGCTCACCATGACTAGCAGCACGTGGTGCAGGCACTGAACTCTGCATGCTCCTTATAAAGCCAGCGCTGGCTGCACGGAGACCCCCTGCCATCCGACTTATCGACTCCCTAGAGCAGTGGTTCTCACCCTGTGGGTGGCAACCCCTTTGGGGGTCAAACGACCCTTTCACAGGGGTCGCCCAATTCATAGTAGCCCAAAATTACAGTTATGAAGTAGCAATGAAAATAATTTTGTGATTGGGGTTGG